ATATAGTTAGGTAATTCAGTAATATCGTTCACGAGTTTATGCGACTTTGCTATTACTATACTACTCTATCAAGGGACAGTGCACAAATGTTATTCATATTAATCCAAATTTACACAAGTCTTATGCACATAAATAACTAAATCGCATGAAACAGTTGCGTTCACCGTATATGTTATGTAATATAAATTATTTTTAATTTCAACTTGCATTGTATTACAATTGACATATTAATGTTACAGAATGTTGAATGTATCGCCAAACTCAGCATTCTGTTTCCGCGCAAAGGATGTCAGAGAGACGAGAGAGCGTAGCATTTCTGATATTCAAGCATTTTTCAAGCATCCTACGTAGAATCGTGCCGTCGCACTTTAAGACGTTACAGACCGTTCATTGAATCGATATAGAGTTGTGAAATAAATTCTCCTTTTAAAACAGGAGATGATAGCACATATTCCAAAAATAATTTTGTAATTTTTATACATGAATGTGCTATTTAAACTTTTCGCTTGAATTCCTAGAATTTTGCTCAATTTCATTATATAATTAATTTTCACAAAAATAAAAGTAAAATTGCTTTCTGTATATAACATAAAACATAAAGAAAGTTTTATATATACATTAGTTTTTTGAAAAATAAATAAATTTAAAATGTAATATGATGATTATACTATAATCATACAGACATAAAATATACTATAATATTGAATCAAACAAAATCCTTTTTCACATAACAATTATTTTATAATTAACATACAGTTTCGTTAAAAATCGTGAAAAAGCTAAAATTGCGTATGGAACGTTTATGAAAACTTGCTAGCTAGGAAAAATAAAAAGTATAACGCGTAGGAAAATAAAATTCTTGAATATAATAAAAATATTGAATAATTTTCCGCTAAACAAAGCAGAATGTATGTATGCAGGCGCAAAAAGAATGCAGCTAGTTTTTATTTTTAAAAATGTAGTAGCCATACAAGAAATACAAGAAATTTGCAAATATTTGCAACTAAATCTTTAGGTGTATAATAAAATAAAATTCTGTTAAATTTGTTCTTAATAAATTTAATCAAAATAGAACGAAAAAAACATTAATAATAAATATATAAATAAAAAATATATCTAACGATTTTAAACTATATGAAAGTAAATCACATAGTTATTACCAGTTTTTTTAATTATACAATTATTACCATACAATTTTTGTATAACAGAAAATTCTTTTACATTTTTGACGTGTGTATTTTATTAAAGAAGAAAAAACAGTTATTATACGTTAAAGCATTATGTTACAAAAATGGTACGAAATTAATTTAACTAACAATATTAGACGAGCAAAATCCTGCAAATATCCATTTAAGACCGATTTAAAAATTTCTATAGATGCAATAATATAAATATAACAATACATTTTCGATTAACTAAATATCGTGGTTCACTAATTAAATTATAGTGAATTAAAAGTTTCGAGAAATCTCTTTATATTTCGATTTTGCTGTTCCTGTGGTAATGTTCTATTATGCAACAATTTGTAACAAGCACAACAGTGCCACGGTAAACAGTGCAGCACGCGCAGAAGCATACAAAAAGTCCAATAAGAGAATACGTTCCATGCGTTGTGAGCTTTATGCGTAGCATAAAGGATGCAATTGTGCAAACATATATGCGTGAAAGTTCTTCAACTATACTTCGAGAGTCTCGATTTTCGCCTTGCAAAATGTATCTCCGCGACAATTCGTGCATTTTCTAACGCTGCACCATAATCTTTGATCTCTCGTAAATTTAAAGAAAAGATAGGATTGTAGAAAACATCTGATATAGCCCTGACCATGCTAGTAATAACTTATAACAAAAAAATTTAAAGAGCTCAGTGGACAGATATTAGATGGCGAAATTATTATCTCACAGTCGCTCATCTTTGAATAAATCGCAATTCTCTTAAATCCAATAAAATATTTCACAAATAATAAAGTGAAAATTCCAAATACATAAATATAATCGGCTATTCCAGTGACTGAATTCCCTCAGCTAAAAAATAAAATAAATTTAAAAATACAATCTCAAAATAATCGTAGAAATAAAGAAAATAAAAACTTAAACATTTAAAAGCAACCATTTGCTCTCTCAAAATTTATTGTGCAAAATGTGCAAAATTTAATGTGCAATTTATTGTGTGACATTTAAAAATTTCTGAGAATATAAAATAATAAATACCCTGATATATAATATTTCGTATAATGAATCTTGCGAAAACGTCATCGTCATGTACCACTTTATGTTTAATTTATAAGACATGTAAATAAAATATTTGGTGTAGTACTTCTTCTATTAAAAATATGAACGTCAAATATTGTATATCGTTAACTATATTTTGAATTTTTACAAGTTCTTTTTATCGATATCGATAATTTATCGGATCAAAAGAACGCTTTCACTTTATTATATAAATGATTTTATAAATACATAACACATACGATTATATTTTTGTAACATCATATTTTAATATATAATATTTTGTAACATTCATGCATCATGAATAACAACTTGATTAATATGCGTTATGGAATCTGTCACTTATACGTATTAAATGAGTGATTTGAAATTCACTTTATTGAGTTTGCGACATTATCAATGGAATGCAAAGCAACATACTTTTAATTACGTGAGTTTAACTTTTATACTTCGTGCGACAAATTACATCCATGTTGATGACATTGGAATGATAAACTAATTTCCTTAATGAACGACAAAACTTCTAATTCTGCATAACGAATCTCCAAAATGGAATTTCAATCTTAATTTATCATACTGTTCCGAATCCAAATTTTTGAAACATGCCAAATTTATATAACTACGTATAAACAAGTTTATCTGTTAATAATTTCTTATATAATTATTTAGAAACTCTTTACATTTCTTAAATGAAATTTCATCTTAAAAGAGTGCTGCCACTATTAAAAGTGAAAAAGTTTTTGATTAAGCAAATTTTCACTCTTTTGAAGTGAAATTTTACTTTTGGAATGAAATTCGCTCCAAAAAAGGAGTGAAATTTTTTTCCTTTTAAAGTGAATCTCACTCCAATGGAAGAGTAATACAATCTGCCTCTCTTATTCAAATGCAAATTTTCCACTCTTTTTCAATAATGGCAGTATTGTAACTCTTTTGAAGTAAGATTTCATTCCAAGAAATTTAGAGAGTATATCATTATTTACAATTATACAGAAAATCACATATCACTATTACAATATACATATACAGATCAAAATGAGACACCTACTGTTCAGCCAAGTATATTATATATGATGGACGAATAAAGTTGATATCAATTCAACGGCTAAAAGGATGATATATATGAATTGAATTCAATAGATGGATCAAACGCGACAGAGTTAATAACGATGACAAGGGAACTTTCAATGCCAGCTGTGCTGCAGAGATACACGTATCTCTTTGAGTATTTTAACTTATAACATTTTATGCACAAATACAGTAACGAAAGGATTATCGTAAATTTTGTCAACGGAAGTCTATTTACGATTTCAAAAATTTCTAAATATTGTTACGTAATTGATGTACTGCTCAATATAATTTTATATTTAACTAAAATTGAATTTGAATCTGTGAAGATAGCACGATATTTTACTAATACTTCTACTTCTAAAAAAATGATTACAGTTCCAGTAGCACTCTCTTTTTATAGTTCTACGATTCTTTATAAAAATAAAAAAAAGTTTCGTATTTTTTTATTCTAAAGTTAAAATGCCATATTTTTAATTTTGGTTTTTTTAGTATAAAAATGCGAAACTTTTTTATTTTTAGAACTATGAAAAGTGTAGAACTATGAAACTGTTATTATTTTTTTTATATTAATAGAACGTCGTGCTAACTTCATAAATTGATATTTTTTAATTATTGTCAGTTTAATATTGTTATTGCACAATATTGTTATTGCACAATCAAAAAAGTTATCATATATTTTATCGTATCACTGTTTATAAAAATTAAATTATAATCAGACAATTACAGATAAAAATACAGTTTTATGAACAATTTCTATAATTTCCGAAATTTAGTTAGCAATAATATTCTTCATGCATTAATTTATCAAGTATGCTGATTCAAACAGTAAACTAATTCATAATAAGAGATTTAGTTCTTAAAAGTTCGAAATTAAAATTTCGATTTCAATTGTTAGAGACAAAAGTAAACAATGGTAGTTGAAATTTGTAAATTAAAAATTATAATATCATAAAAAATATTATATTTTTTCATTAATTTTATTCCTTTTAAGCACTTCGTATAAAACGGAGCAAAACCTCATTTTTTAATACAACTGAATAAACGAAGCATTTCTATGGGTCACTACTCTCAGAAGAAATTTTCACGTAAAAATACGCGGTTTAAAGAAAATATATAAAAGCATTTGCGCCAGTTCCAATTATGTATCGCTTGTAATTTTATAAAATTATGATAGTCACACAGAAACTGGAACATTATAAACGAAGCTTTTTAGTTTATTCAATTGAGATAAAAAATATTACCGTTGCCTCAGTTATGTATATTGCACGCGCACATATACATCAGATTTAAATTTAAAAGTTTCGAAAAATTCTACAAAAAAGATTCATAGGATAATTACATACTATTCAATTGTTAATCACAAATACATATTGCGACTTTAATACTTTATATAATAATAATAAATGGGTAATAAAAATTAGTTTCCCATTATTGCTGAAAATTTAATTCTATTTCCGCATATACATTCAAAGATGTCACGAGAGAGTTAGAATTATTACAATTGAGCATCTGCAGTTCTTGTATGGTTGTTTTATCTAACATGACATAATAAAAAAAGGAAGAAAAAAAGGCTTTCGACTTTCAAGGCACTCGCTTAATTCGCTCGTGCGTAAAGCTATGGCCCTGGATAACGGTAGAGTGGCAGTCTGCCTTATGCATGCGCGAAGTTTCGTGATACTGGATAATACCATGGAGCATGTACTTACATACTACGGTGAGATTCTTCGAGGCGGAGGCTGTGGAGAAGGTTGGCGCGTCTGCCGTAACTTCGCAGATGAATGTACCCGAGAGGCCGAAGTCGACATTGCGAAGCGTTACCTGGCTGTTGTTCGACTTGTCGGGCTGAAACACACATTCGCGTAAGATGTACACAGCGAATAGGAATACCTACGTATCAGGCGCGATGGCCTAGGTTGTTATGCTGCGGTGAAGTAATGCCATTTATATGTATATGTTATAATCTCATTTGTTGAAAGATATTACATGTTGAAGAGATTAGTTATTCATTGTTTCGATGTCTGTACACAATTATTAATCGAATTATAAACATGGATTTCTTATTTGCCATTAGCTATTTTATTAAGTTAAAATATTTTGTATTATATTATATTTTATATATTATATTTTATATAATATAAGTAATTTTAACTATTAAAGCTATTTAGCACTGATAATAATTATTTTTTTTAATTTCTCATAAATATATAAAATTAGAATTTTTAAAAAGATGCACCGTTCTTTATTTCAGCAAATATTATAGTTCCAGTTCTCGCATCGAAGAATGCCTGGTTCACTTGAGGGAACAATCACCTTATCAGAAAATTATCGGACACTCGACTAAAGTGGCCCGGAAAGCCAAGCTGGTAGAAGTCGTGCTACAGAAATAGAGGTGAAGCAACGTCATGATGGCGATAGGGGCCGAATAGAGAAAAGTTTAATCGGAATAGGCAAAACGAAGCACGCATAATTAGCGATGCTTCCATAATGAAAGAGGAAGAAGCACGAGTGAATAGGAATACGCCAATGGCTGGGATCAGAAAAAGGGTGAATTACAAATTTTTTGACGAGCGGAAAAGAAGCGTGAAAAGCAAGTGAGCTCTCTCTCTCTCTCTCTCTCTCTCTCTCTCTCTCTCTCTCTCTCTCCTCGTTGATTTATGTGGACGAAGACGTGAAGTCCCCGGCTGACTTTACAGAAACAGGAACAAAAGCTCAGCACGCCGCATGAGAGGAATAAATATGAAACCATAGCACTCTCACTCGGCTATCTAGGGAATAATCTCCGACGTATAGCGTCTTGTTCTCTCTTCCGACTGGCGATGACACTGATATCCTCGCGCGAGATATCCAATATTCGTGGCGTATAAATCGATCATTCGCAGGCTAATAACGTCCAGGATTAACAATTTTGCATGTCATCAAGTCTGTCGGATAAGCGCTACCAATACGTCATACGCATGAAAAATTAATGGAGCGCCAAAATTATTTAATCAAGACATCCAATAATAATAATAATAATAATAATAATAATAATAATAATAAT